AGATTATCGACGATGCAACTATTTATAGTCGACAAGTTATACGGACTAGTGATGTAAATTTGTTATTAAATCTTTAGTCATTATCGAATACGAAAAATGACACTATAAATCGCTTTAAATTGGTGGGCTTTTCCATATTTAACTTGTTGATAATGCATCCATTTATTTTCCATTATGAATCGACGCCGTTGTTTATTTTTAATGTGACTATATTACATAATATTCGGCACCTAACACTATGATACAGAGATTTCAGATAGTAAGATTGTCTAAGATGCAAATATTTATCTGCCATTATCATTAGACGAGAATACTGATTTATAATGTGATTAGTTTGCAATACTTTTAGTCATTCCGGAGCACGAGCAAAGTCTCACAAAGTCTGTTAACTTAATATATGAAGATTTAACAGCAGTATAATGGGATTGAAGATAACGTAAGCATTCATTTTCCATTCTTAATAAATAAGGTGACATACTTTCAATGTGAGTATATCTTGAACACGATCAAGTTCAACCGATGTCGATTTAATTCTTATATTTGCCAATATTGCTCGACGATTTTAGCTGTGTTCGATAAAATTATGTCTCTAATAATTCAGCGATTATGCAACACAAACAAGCTCACCCTCGGTAGCGTCTTTTATATAATTAGTTTTCCCTATATTAAAGTTCGATTTTCCTATTGTCAATTAGCAACAATTTATTCTCAATTCTCAGTAGCTAGGAGATTACTTCGAGAAATTTACAAGTTCTTGAATACTAGAAAGGTTTTTCGCTTATAAGTAGGATTTCGAGGCTAACAGTATTCACCCCATTCCGTTTAAGATGATAAAGAAATGATGGTTGAGTTTACCCACAATGGCGTCAGTATAGCTGACGTTTCCATTAAATTTCGCATAGCTTTGCTTTTCTGAAAGTTATTCTCTTACAAGATTGACAGAAGTTTCGGCCTCGCCTTATCAACACCCCCAGAGGAACTCGAATCATGACACGTTAACCCCTACGCCATATTTACACAAGTACCCTTGGATCACAAGGCAGACGTTAATCTCAAGGGGGGCGAGGAATTTTCACATATCACATTCTTTGATGGGATTGTCGATAATGCGAAGTTATCTTTGCTATAATAATCGACTACATTATTTATTTCTCGTCCGTTAGAAGGGCTTTAAGACTAACAGTACTTCAGATATATGAGATTTGCTTGTGGGATGGGGTATATTGTGATTGAACAAGAGAACACAATCTAATTTTCCAGTATAAATCGACTATTCTACTTATTTTTAATGTGAGTATAGTTTTAAATGTTCATTACTTTTTGAATACTACAATAATATAATGATTTCAGATAGTGTTATTGTCGATAAAGCAGCCATTTATATGCCATTATCAATCAACGTGGTTACTTCTCTTCGTTCTGAATACATTTCCAAACATTTAGTAGTTTAGAAATACGAACAAGGGATTCTTAAGCTTACCTCCTGTATCTTGGGTCTTGGCAGTTAGACTTTCTTTCAATATGTCATCCGTGTTCACCCATCTTCTCTACCCCCCTTCACTTCTCATCTCAAGAGGCCTGACGAAGCATGTTATCAAAAAGCAATGTCTCCTTCAAAGCCGAAACTTTAATACTTCCTCTCATCAGAGTCTCGAGCCATTGTATGGAATGAAATAAGAGCCAACTTTCTACCAAATGGTAGCCAGCCAAGTTTTATGAAAGAGTTTGTGGAAAGGTTGTCTTCGGCTTGTCCGAGAAATTCGTCCAAATGCATTCTCAAGGCGCCAGGATAGAGGAATCTGTCTTGAACAGTGGCCGAGGGGTCCACATCCACCGAGCACTTGCCGTCTGGTCGAGGCCTGTACAGCAGGAAGACATTTTTGACCATGCTGAACGTCGCCTTAGCAGCAGTAACTACGCTGACAAGACTTGATTATTTTGGCACGATGTGAATGTAAGACTAGCAGAAATGTGTTTCGTAAAAAAAAGTGAATTTTATGTGGTGTTAACAGTTTGAAAGATGGAATATGGGTCAACGAGGCCATAAGACCTGGAAAATGAAAGGAGTTGCAGTCACAAACAGAAAACATGTGCTTCTTGCAATTAATTGTAAAGTATGGAGTAAAAATATCGATGACTACATATCGAGGCCGAAATTTAACCGATTCACAGCCAGTAATCGGTTTACATGCAGAGGATGGCAGAAGAAGAATAACAGAACGCCTTATAAATCTTGTCGCAAATAACGAATAAGCCAACTTTTATCATCTTCTGGATAGAAGATGTCTCCCTAAACCTATCGGTTTCCTTGGCAGCACTTTCGCTGAGGATACAGTGTCAACGTCAGGAAAATCGTATTTGTCAACCTTCACAGTCATTTATCTCTATCTGTGTGGAGGTTTTCAACTTCAGGTTCGACTATCAGTACTTGTATCTCCTCAAGCGACTTAGGATTTTTGTTAAGACCTACTAATAGTTTTGAAGACTACTCACTAAATAGTCAGTAGTTGTACTTGTTGTAGTTTTCCCTGCCGACG